ACGTAAAAAATGTTCACCACACACAAAAACCACGGACAGACAGATGTTTCTTAAACCACAGGTTACATCTTTTATACTTTATAATAAATGTGTCACTTATTGGTTTTCCTATCTCTTACACGTAACACTCAAATTAAATTTCTCACAATTTATTACTACATTTTTATATGCCTTAAGATTAAATATGCAGCATGAAAAACAAAAAAATGCCACAATACACTAAGGAACGTGCAATAGAATTCTCCAAACCTTCCCATCTCCAGCATAGTGAAACCCACTGTCTGACGAGAACATCAACATCTTTCTTGATTTGTCCCTCCATCCAATGTCTTCCTGGATAAACATACATTAAAACATTAACACGTCTTCTAGCATTTCACGTGTACATTGAAACAAACTTCTTATTTTGATGAAGATTTAAAAAAAAAACACCTGACAGTTGTGAACAATCTTGTTAATACTAATTACCAAGGTTTTAAAAAAAATGGATTAGTCAGGAAATTTATATTTTACCTCTTAGAACTACACGCACAGAACATATTAACAATAGGAGATGATACTATGGTCCTATTAGACTCCAATTCAAAAGCTATTTACACCTTATGAGGTTTGTATAATACACTGTAGATACTACCCCATCCTCAACAAATCATATAAAAGGAATTATAAATCATGGCCAAAAGAAATCCATCAACTTCAATGCATCATTGCTGCTGTTACAAATGTGAACATGCACAGTAAATAAAGTAATCCTAAACAGAGAGAACAAACGTGCAAAATCATTGAACATGAAGGTTTAAGATTGACATTTTACCCTCCTTCATTATCCCACCCCCTACTAAACTCCTTATATTTACCCCACTGGTTAGTTTAAGTAGCTTATTTTTGTTTAAGTTTTCTAAAGCACTTGAGTTTCAATACCTTTTAAAGTATCATTAAAGTAATAATAACAATAAAATAAAACAGTTCTTCTAATGTATTTGATTCTTTCACATCTTTATTTTCCAGCCGTGCCAACCAAGAAACAATTATAATTACAGTAATTTAGAATTAGCGTTAACTAGTTGACGCTTATCCGATCTATGGAATTCCAGCATGTGTTTTGTGATCTGTTAAAAAACAATATATGACCTACGTGGCAGGATTTTGTTTTTACTAAACTTGCTACACCATAACCTAACAAGTGTAAAGTCAACTATTACTATAATTTATTCATGTTTACACGAGAGAACAGGCAAGGCTGAATGTAAAATAAGAACAATACATAACGTGGAAGCCAATAGGAAAAAACTGAATTAGTCTATTGAGTATTTTAATAGATATTGTTCTCAGTAAAACACTGAAGACTAAAAAACATAAATAATAGCTTACACGGCAAAAAATGAAAAACATTAAAGGAACTTACATGATAAACAATAAAGAACTTACATGATAAACAATAAAGAACTTATATTACAAACAATAAAGAACTTATATGACAAACAATAAAGAACTTATATGATAAACAATAAAGAACTTACATGATAAACAATAAAGATCTTACATGATAAACAATAAAGAACTTACACGACAAACAATAAAAAACTTACATGATAAACAATAAAGATCTTACATGATAAACAATAAAGAACTTACATGATAAACAATAAAGAACTTATATGATAAACAATAAAGATCTTACATGATAAACAATAAAGAACTTACACGACAAACAATAAAGAACTTACATGATAAACAATAAAGAACTT